TTGACACCGCACAAGTAAGCGGTGGCCGTGCAGGCCGAGTCCGGCACCTGCGCATTGGAGCAGTAGGTCTACGCGAAGGAAGATTACCTCAATCAGCACACTCCCAATTACCAACCACATTGAGCTCTGGAGTACTCACCTTGCTCAGGCCGAAGTGGGGGAACTTCTCGAAGCTGAGGGAGTCCTCCTCGCCGGGATTGCCCTTGAGCTGGCCCTTGTGTATGCGAGCAGCAGCCACCGTGGACAGGGACATGCCGTCGCCCAGGAACATGATCACATTCTTGGCCTTCCGCTTGTCGGCCTGTGGCAGTGCCAGACGCTTGGCAATCTCTTCGCGGGCCAGGTCGTACCAGAACTGGGCGTTCTTCTCCTCCTCCGGTCCGGTCTTACCCTTGGCCAGGGCATTGGGATCTATGACGTTCAGGCGAGTCGTCCCAGCGCCGGCTGCACTTCCCAATAGCTGATCCTGGCTGTGAATCTCGGACACTGCAACAGAGAAACGTCCTCAGTTATTGCCACCCACCCAGACACCTCGTCCTCCTCCACTTACTGTCTATGGACAGGGCCAAGGATGCGGCCACTAGGCCACTCAGCACCAGCAGCTGAACACCGATGAATCTCTTCATTCTGGGCAGGTGTCTATCGCTTCGAGAAAGGAATGTGACTATACATGTGCTGTGCCGGCCCAGGCCTATATATTCCGGCAGACTGTCGGGCCTTTTGCTTATCGGCTCTGCCATATCTCCGTCACATAATCCCAAAAGTCTGCAAAAACTCAAGCAAATTCCTCTTTTATGAGTTGATCTATTCTTAATTTTGTTAGACTTTGGTGTTTATGGTTATGGGGGGTCTTGCTGGAAAGGTGTGCTCCGAAGACTGGCTACCAGTTTGAGGATCTGTGGACCAATGGTGTGGGGGGCGGGCAATAAACGAGCACAGTTCGGGTCGTTTCGCTCGGCACGAGGCGCTCGGCATTAGCCCATGGGGTAAAATAGAACCCAAGATGAATTATCACAGGTGGTAAAGAAATTTTCACGTACATATATGACAATTGGGCACATCTCAGGCCCAAGATAAGCCTAATCAAAGAGCTATCTATCGCAGCCAAAGGTGACATTCAGAAGCAGCCAAGCACCCACACCGAGTACACCTGGCAGGATCCTTTGTCGCATGTCGGTTTTTGTTTCACTAATGAAATAAATGTGAAATTACTCGCAAGTTGCTTGTATCCCCAAAACTTCTTGCTTGACCGAAATTCTCAAAAAAAAACAAAGGGAAAGTCTGTGGGTTAAACATACAGCAAATGGAAGTAAAACTTTGATTTGGCAACAAACAAATAGTGAATACAAAATTAAAAATGCAAATTTTAAAAGATTATATTAAATAATTAAACTACTGCAGAGTTATTGTTTTTATTATTATTATTATTGTTTAAAAGAATTTTCGATCCCATAATCCATGACTTATTGAATTCTTGGTCGCCAGCGAGCTCTAACAACCTTCTGCCCTCAACCTTCTTGTGTCTCCACATTGTCGGATTTTAAGTTGTATCGAAATGAAAGCATTCATCATCATCTGACCGCCGAAAAGCGTTTATATTATTATTTATTGTGTTAACCTTTGAGTAACCGAAAACGTAGTCAAAGTTATCGGCGTTAGAGCTTATATAGATACAGTGATTCGATCCTGATGCTTTCTATTTAGCTGCCTGCACCAGCTCAGCCATAAGTTGTCAAGGCTTTTCCAGGTGGACATCAGAAGCAATATCTATTCAGTTTTCAGGCAGGAAATAGTCTGAACAGTCTGCCCTTTAAGTTCCGCCCCATTGTGTGCATAAAACGTTAAATATTTTCTTCTTGAATGCTCATTTTATTGTCAGTATTTATGTTTAAGTGTTGGAACCCCTATGTGGTATTGTCGCAAAGCGTCTGGCCACTGCCAATGCAGGAGGCATAGGCCATGATGTGGGGAATTGTGCTCTGCTGCATGACGCCGCTGAGGAGATGGCTCTGGGGACCGGAGGCCCAGATGCCCACATCCTCGCCAGAGTGCACGCCCTGTTCCTTGGGAATGTAGCTGGGGGTGATGGAGTCATCGTCGCCCACAAGACCGTCCAGCGGTATGCGCTGGCCGTTCTCGTCCAGATATTGGTTGGGACCAGCCGCATAGTTCAGCACAGAGTACCTCACGCCATTGAGGTCGGTGTCGTGTTGGTTGATGCCCACGATGTTGGTGCCGCGTCCTGGATAGCCGGCAATGCTCACCGCGTGTCCATGGTCGGCGGTTACCACAATGAGGGTATCTTCAATGTCGGTGATGTCGCGGGCCAGCTGAATGGCCTTCTCGAACTCCAGGGCCTCGTCCAGCGCATAGCCCGCCTGGGTGTAGTGATTGCCGTAGTCGATGAGTCCGCCTGCGAGAAAGAAGAATATGAGTCTCCCGTCTCTCCCGATCTCGATCACTCACCTTCGATAAAGGCAAAGTAGCCATTCTCATTCTGGCTCAGCTTCTTGATGGTCACCTCGGTGAGCTCAGACAGGGTGGGTTGATATGCCGCGTCGGCGTCCCTGTGGAACTTCATCAGCTGGGACTCGAACAGGCCGATGATATTTCCCACCGCCGAGACGTTGACATTCAGCAGCTGTTTGCGATTGCTGACCAGGACGCCGCCCTTGTGCTGACTCTGCCACTTGGAGAGGAGATTCACGCCATCCGAGCGTTCGCCGGCGTTGCCGTGGCTGTCCTTGATGGTTTTGGGCAGGAACTTGCCCATGCCGCCGCCGAACATAATGTCGAAGTTCTTGCCGGGCGTCTGCGTCACCAGTTGGGTGGCCATGTCAATGCAGGTGCTGGCATCCACTCCATAGCTGGTCACGTCCGTATCGCACTCCCACATGCGGTTGGCGGTCTTCGCGTACGCGCCCGAGGGACTGGCATGCGTCAGGGTGGTGGTGGTCACAATGCCTGAGCGATAATTCCCCATGAGCCCGTGCACAAATTATCGTGTATAATAGTTACCTGTGGACTTGCCAGCATTCTGGGCCCACTCAGCAATGGAGGTGAGGCGGTTATTTGGGTCCTGGCTGGCAGTGCAGTTGTTAAAGTTGACGGCGGCGCTCACTCCGATGTTGATGATGTTGGTCTTGACGCCACATAGATAGGCAGTGGCCGTGCAGGCGGAATCGGGCACTTGGGCATTGGAGCAGTAGGTCTGATGGATTATTGTATTTTGTTTACTCTGTGGCGGATGTGAAACAGACCGGGTACTCACCCGACTCAGAGCCGTGTGGGGAAACTTCTCGAAGCTCAGCGACGACTCCTCGCCGGTTTTGCCCTGGCGCTGACCCTTGAGGATCCTTGCCGCCGTCACTGTGGTCAACGGCATGCCGTCGCCCAGGAACAGGATCACATTCTTGGCCTTCCGCTTGTCGGGCTGTGGCAGTGCAAGTCGCTTGTTGATCTCCTCGTTGGCCAGGTCGTACCAGAACTGCGGATCCATCTCCTCCGGTGGCGTGTACTTGTCCGTGGCCACATCTGTGGAGAACCGGGGCTTGTTCGCCGCCTGTCCTGACAGTTCATACACGTTGTGGGGTCCAAGCCCACCCTGGACTTGTACTACCCCAGCCAGGGCCAGAGCACCAAGGACCATCAGTATCTGCTGGGCGAGCATCTTCCAAGTGCGATTTGGATTGTGAAATGTCCGCAACTAACACGATAGCTGGCTAATGCCGCCATTTTATATGCCGCCTTCCTGGCTCGTGTACGTCTAAATTTAAATTTTTATTTCCCACCTTTATGGGTGCAAACTTATCTCTGTTGGCCAGCCCTATCTTTATACACATCACCCATTTCTCTCATGATCTCTTCCGAGTTGGGGAAGGGCTGATTCTTGATTGCCCCCCCTTAAACGTTACAGCGCATTGTCTGCCCTTTCGTTGGCCCTAGGGGTTTTACAATTATTCTTGTTCCCCTTTTTGTCTACAGCGAAAGTCTGCCAGATAGTGGATCATATCACACCCCACCCACACTTGATCACACTTGTGATGCTGATTTCACATGTGCAAACAGCTCTCAGGGCAGGGTTATCTTCTGAATCGCGTCTGTCACGTTTGGAGTCATAAAAGCTAATGCTTGTGGCAGACTCGCATGCTCTGGATATGTGGGGGAACGTGTGCTGACTTATCGCAGGAATTTTTGCACTTTCATTAATAATCGCATTTGCAAGACGCGATCTCGTGGTTTCGTGCTGAAGATAAGTCCAGCCAGAAATTTTAGTGTTTAATCAGGTCCGAACGGACAGCAAAGTACAGTCAGAATGCAAACAAAGACTTCTGGGGATATTTTGGTATCAGTAATGAGGAAAAAAACGTGAAAGTAACGAAGTTGAGATTTTAAGGCCAAGTTGTTGGACAACTTATGTCTCACAAAAGAGTATTTTATGGAACTTTAATACAAAACTATCTTTCTCGGATCTCTAATGAAACATACTCTGTGCGCTACTATTCCCATTCCGAATTCTGAATTCCAAAAATAGTCCGCAAAATATAATCCCTAAAGACTTTTCGTTTGATTTGAGTCGAGTCAAAATCTCTAGAGATTTCTTATTGCTTATTGCTCCTTGCGCCGTTGATGTAAATTTTAATATTTATTGATCTAGCTGGTGATAAATGAGACTTTGAAAGCTCAAAATGATAGTCAAAAACTTTATTTGTTATGGAATTTTTTTTATCAACTATCGTTTGTACACTTGTTGCGGCTAAGCTAATAAAAACAGCACGCGTTTAAAGTAAACTCGTTTTTTTTTTTGTAAAATTATCCATTATTGCAACAATTAAAGAATACAACCTAAAAAAGTTGTACCATGATTTTCCCATTCTATTAAAAAATTTGATTTTTTGACATACTCGTACAATACGTTCGCGGAAATGCGTCGCTATATTCACGTACTTAATTACAATAAACTGAACAAATTTTGAAGTGAAATATTTAATCGAGTATTCTCGACTATTCCCATCTCAGTTTCTTAAATTTTTGCACCATTGTTTTTTTTTCGATTATCTTTTATTGCCAAATTTTTCGTGTATGGTCCCCCCAAATTACAGATACCAGAGCAATGTTTAAGCGAAGCTGCACGCTCCTAGCCAAAGCACCACAGCAGCAGGTGCTCGAGTGGCTGGGCTCCATCGAGACCATACTCTTTGGGTCTGACGGAGTACTCTGGAAGTTTGATGACCCCATCAAGGGATCTGTGGAAACCTTCAATGCCCTGAGGGCCAAGGGGAAGCGCTGCTTCATAGTGACCAACGATTCCAGCATGGTAGCGAGTGAACTGGCGCAGAAGGCCATGTGCCTGGGCTTCAAAGTGGAGGAGAAGGAAGTTCTCAGCTCAGCGGCGTGCATATCCAACTATCTGGTGGCCAAAAAGTTCAATAAAAAGGTGCTAGTTGTGGGCGACACAGGCATCCGCAAGGAGCTTGAGAAGGCGGGCATCCAATCCGTTACCACGGATCAGGAGGCAGGAGAAGGTCAGATGGGTCACTTTGCCCGACAAATTGAAGTCGATCCGGATGTGGGAGCTGTGGTGGTGGGCAGAGACGAGAGCTTCAATGTGTCCAAGATTGTCGTGGCCGGCACCTATCTGCTCAATCCCAAGGTATTGTTCCTGGGAACCTGCATGGATACCTACTACCCGGTGTGTGACAAACGTGTGACTGTAGGTGCCGCGGCCATGGTGGCTGCCATTGAAAAGAGCAGCAAACGGAAGCCCCTCATCATGGGCAAGCCCAATCCTCAAATGGTGAATAAGCTAAGGCAGTCCGGATCCCTTAAGCCGGAGAAAACCCTTGTAATTGGAGATCGGTAAGTGATGCCATTTGATTGATTGATTTGAATAATTCTGTTATTTTTTCTAAAAGGTTGAATTCGGATATCATCTTTGCCAGCAACTGCGGGTACAAATCACTTTTAGTGGGTTCGGGAGCGGGTTCTCTCGAGGAAGCGCAGAAACTCCAAAAAGAAGGCAATGAGAAAAAACTGAAGATGGTTCCGGACACGTATTTGCCCAGCTTGGGTCATTTAATGGATTATCTGTGTGTGGATGAGAAAAGTAAAGAAAGTGATGAGGGTAAAGCCGGAAAAAAAGGCTGTCGACAACAAAGAAAATAAGGCTACAGTAGCATAATGCGAGATTAGTGTCATTTTAAATGTTCGCGCGAAAGTCAAGCAGCTGTCTTGAAGCAGCCAACCTTTTACAACACTAGCTAAAATAAATATCGATGAATCGATAGAAGACTGCTTCAATAATAACATACATTTGTCAGGCACGCAGCCTTTGGTTTTCTGTTCATAAACAGCTATGATATTAATTTCAGTTAATTTTTTGAATTAAAGTGATAAGCCGCTGTTCGCGCGCAATTCTTATTGGCTGAAAACCCAGCAGACGATAGCAGCTACAACAACTCGATAGCTGCAACTCGATAGTGGCAGTGCTGAAAAATACTTGAATCGAATCGAAAGAAGAACGAAACAAAGAAACAAAAAATGTTCTCCGAAAAAGCTGTGTTTTAATCGAAAAAGCAAAAACAACGCTGTCGCTCCGTTTGTGGCTGTGTGTGTGCGACGTGTGTTCTATTAATATGAAAATGATTTTAAACTGCAACTAAGACACCTTGAATGCAACGGTGTAGCGAGCACTGCATATGCGTGAGTGTGTCAGTGTGGGCCAGTGTGTCTGCCTGTGTGTGTGTGTTTGTGTATACATGTGGATAAACGAAAATAAAACTGCCCGTGCCCGTGCCTTGTATCGGTCTTCTCTACGTTCTGTTTGCCACCGCCACCCCGCAAAGCTAGGTCCGAGAATTGCATCGTAACACCAAATCTTCCACTTCCACCACCTCCAATAGCAGTGGCAGCGGCAACGGCAGCACCAACAACCACTAACACCACCCTTTACAACTGTTACAAAAGAAACCCCGCAACCCCCGTTTACAACAGCCTTGTAATCTCTCGCATACAGGCAGAACGCAAGTCACACACACAGAGGCAATCCCATCTAGCTCCTGGAATGGACATGGACTCGGACATGGAAATGGAATTGGAATCGGACAACGATGGCGAGTACGAAGATGACTATGATTATTACAATACAGGTGAGTCGCCCGTCCTTTACTCCACCGTTCTACCCTGCTCCCGTCATGACAACAATCTGGAATCGATTTAACTGAAGCTGAATCAATGTACATATGCATATATGTATGTGTATAATGTATCTGTGTTCAAAAATCGGTTGTGCCCTGCAAGTGTGTGTGCGGCCGTTCGTTTGCTTATGCGGGTTGGTTATTCACCTTTTTGGGAAGGCCTAGGCCTAAGAATTTGCATTTAACCTTCTACGTGCTGGTGGGCCCAGCACTTGACATTCGCCTTCGCCAGGGTCCGACCCCACCCCCCAATAGCCACCGCAGCACAGCCACTACTATATACTATCCTAGTGTTCGTTTCGTTACGTTCCGTTTGGCTCTGCGGTCATGAAGTCGAAATTATGAAATTGAACTTGAAACGAATACTCGCACACACTACTGAACGTACAAAACGGTCGTACGTACGTACATATGTGAGTAGTTGGATTGCCCCCTTCTGAGGTTTGTTGTTGGCTTCATTATTGCCCAGTCTTCCTCTTACGCTCTTCTTGTAGGGGCCCGGTTGGTATCTCTGTCTCTCTCTCTCGCTCTGTCTGTCCCTAAGTTTGTCTTACACACAAGCAAACACACACTCGCAGCAAGCACTCGAACTCTCAGGTGCGTGCTCAAGTACATTGTTGCATTCTGCTTTGTGGCTCCTCTTCCTACGACTTGGTCTCTTCTCTGCTTTTTGACCTGTCCCCTGCGGCAGTGGCTTGAGTCGCGGTTCCGATCTGGCCAAATGTGAATAGCCGCAACGGCAAGCGGCCACCCGGAATCACAAACACCCTGCATTCGTCTTTGTTCAAGTTTTTATATATAATAAACCACGATCATGCCCCAGAAGACGGGACCCTGGTTTACCCATATTTCGCTCTTAACAATGCATTCAAGAATTGATAGGATTGCTGGATAGAAAGTAGGGTACCATCCACAGAGAAATATTATTATCATTTAAGGGTTGATTTCATTTGAGATTCCCCCATGGGACAAACAGAGACTGATTTACTAATCAATCTCCATCATTTTTCTGTGCAGGCGAAGACTGTGATGTGGAGCGCTTGGACCCGAAGAGAGCCGATCCAGAGTATTTTGAGTACGAGTGCCTGACCGTGGAGGACATTGAGAAGCTGCTCAACGAGCGGGTGGAGAAGCTGAACACGATATTGCAGATAACGCCCTCGCTGGCCAAGGTGCTGCTGCTGGAGCACCAGTGGGATAATCTGGCGGTGGTGGAGAAGTATCGACAGGATGCGAACGCCCTGCTGGTGACGGCGCGCATCAAGCCGCCCACGGTGGTGACTGAGGCCGCCTCAACAAGTGCGGCGGCGGCTGCGGCCAGTGCCCAGTTGCTGAAGCTGGGCAGCAGCGGGTACAAGACGTCCTCGTCGGTGGTCAGCAATGCCAACTCGAATGTCCCCCAATACCGGAGTCAGATGTGTCCCGTGTGCGCCAGCTCGCAGCTGGGAGACAAGTTCTACAGCCTGGCCTGTGGCCACTCTTTCTGCAAGGACTGCTGGACCATTTTTTTCGAGACACAGATATTCCAGGGCATTTCCACGCAAATTGGTTGCATGGCCCAGAAGTGCAATGTGCGGGTGCCAGAGGACTTGGTCCTGACCCTGGTTACACGCCCCGTTATGAGAGACAAATATCAGCAGTTCGCATTCAAGGACTATGTCAAATCACATCCGGAGTTTAGGTTCTGCCCGGGACCCAACTGCCAGATCATTGTGCAATCATCGGAGATCTCCGCCAAACGTGCCATCTGCAAGGCGTGCCATACGTGTTTCTGCTTCAAGTGTAGCATGGACTATCATGCGCCAACAGACTGCCAGGTGATCAAGAAATGGCTGACCAAGTGCGCCGACGACAGCGAGACGGCCAACTACATTAGTGCCCACACCAAAGACTGCCCCAAGTGTCACATCTGCATCGAGAAGAACGGCGGCTGCAATCACATGCAGTGCTTCAACTGCAAACACGACTTCTGCTGGATGTGCTTGGGGGACTGGAAGTCGCACGGATCCGAGTACTACGAGTGTTCGCGCTACAAGGACAACCCCAATATTGCCAACGAATCGGTGCACGTGCAGGCCCGGGAGGCCCTCAAGAAGTACCTCCACTATTACGAGCGCTGGGAGAACCACTCCAAGTCGATAAAGCTCGAGCAGCAGACGATCGATCGGCTACGCCAGCGCATCAATTCGAAGGTAATGAACGGCAGTGGCACCTGGATCGACTGGCAGTATCTGTTCAATGCAGCGGCACTGCTGGCCAAGTGCCGATACACTCTGCAGTACACATACCCGTATGCATACTATATGGAGGGCAGCTCTCGCAAGAATCTCTTCGAATACCAGCAGGTGAGTTTTTGCAATCGATTTTTAGCAGCTGTCGATTCTATTAACTATTTTATTTTTGTTTCAGGCGCAACTGGAGGCTGAAATCGAGAACCTGTCCTGGAAAATAGAGCGGGCCGAGACAACGGACCTGGGTGATCTCGAGAACCAAATGGATATTGCTGAGAAGCGTCGCACCACCCTACTCAAAGACTTCTTTCCCGTGCATGCATCGACGGCATAGGCGGAACATAAGGCTTCCAGAACCACCAGAAGCTTGTCTAGTTTAGCACAAAAGCGAACTTCATTTGATCGACTTGACAAGCCACACGACAGTATAAGAGACGCTTATTTAATTATAATTATACACAAATACATACTATACATATATCCATATATCCATTTAGCGGTAGCAGAACGATGTGTAGCTAATTTTTAAACTAATTGAATATTCACGTGCATATAGACTAAAGGATTTAGCATAGAACATATGTAGTCGACTACTTGAAGTACGAATATTATAGTTGTGACATTCGAAATCACTCAAAACGATCGATCGGTGTAACTGCAATACAACGCCTTGAGCGGTAAGATTATGATAACGATATCGTTAGTAGCCATAGCTATTTTCATTAAATATAACTACAACAATAGAAGAAAGAACGAACTAACGAAAGAATGAAGAAACAAAAAAGAAATCAACCAGGCGCATTTTTGTGGCCATGTGTTCCAACAGTTTTCCAAAAACTAGCCCAAGCGACCCTAGAATATGCATAAACAATTCTAAATATGTAGCATAGCAAGTCAAGCAATTCTCACTCAGACACGACACGCATAGAGAAAAGACCTCAACTCAATCGGTTAGATCCTAAGTTTTAAATATCGTATTAACAAATTGGCCGAACGGCATCAACAATATCAATATCAACAAAAAGTATTTTATAATTGGTAACTCGTAATTCGTAACTAGCCACAGCACATCCATCGAATCGAATGCAAAAAGTCTTCAAATAAAATATTGTATGTAATTATAACGAATGCTAGGTACTCGAACAAATTAGGTACTTACCCGTTCGTTTCTTTTATATTCACTGCTCGATTAACGTATTAAGCTGAATTATAAATTATAGTCTAGGATTACGCTATGTATTTATGCTTATGCGACTGAATTTGAATTAAATTTACACTAGATATAAACATACAAAAGTCAATTTAGTACAAGTGGAGAGGAACATGGAAAGCTTTGGAGCTTTGGACTAAAGCTGTTAGGTAGCTTTTATAAGCAACTATTTTTGCCTCAAGGAGCTTTCTCTCAAAAGATATCTAAGCTTTTATTTTGCTTCGCTTTTAGCTTTAGTTATTTGGACTTGGCTTTCACTCAAGAGTTTAATTTTGTTGCTCAAGTTTAACTTAGTTAAACAAATGCATTAGCTTAATTCCATTCAATTTATTTTGTGCTTCATGTACCCTGTGCTACCCCCCCGGAATAATTTCAGTTAGTGTTCAGTTTTAGTTTTTGAATTTATTCTGATCCAATATTCCTGAAGCTACTTTTTACCCTTCTTTTTGCCCTTTTTCCCTTTTTTACCCTTCGCTGGCACAGCTACGGGCAGTATGGTTGGCAAACGGGTCTCTCTAGGAGGCGTTGGCGGGGGCAGGGCAAACATACGGCACTCGGACCTGTCTTTCAACAACCGCTTGGTGAAGCGCTTAGGCCCGGTTAGCATCCCAACAGGCACGTTGTTCATATTCTCAACCCTTTGATGGGGATACACCTCGACGTCGCAGCAGTTGGACAGCAGCAGCAGGTTCTGGCTGGCCGTGATGGGATGCCGGAAGAGGAGATCCCTGCCGCAGCTGAGGCACTTGTTCTTCATGCGGCGCAGACGGAAGAGCATTGGGAAGCAGCGCCCCACCACAGTATTGTCGTCCAGCATGACGCAGTGCTTGTAGCTTGGCTTGGGCCGCGGTCGCTTGGTGTACTGTGGAGTAGAAGACGACACATGGTGGATGGAAGGAAACCGAACGCCAAAGGGTGGTGTACCTCGTTCAGGTGCATAATGGTCTGGAGCGGCCTGCACTCGGTCGAGCACAGATTGGGACGTATGTTCCGCTCCTGGGCCGCACACAAGGTGCAGTCGGCTTCCTTTTCCTTGTCGCTGCTTCTGCCGCAGGTCTTGCTGCACTCGGCCCGGATGTCGATCTCCTTGCGCGCTGGCCCGTCGGGCTTGAGGGTCACCTGTATCACCTCCACGTCCGGATCGACCACGTCTTCGGGGGGCAGCACTAGCTTGTAGTCGAGACAGGGTCCGTTCGGCGGCTCGAAGCAGTTCCTCGGACATGGCCTCTCTGAGCCATTCTTCTCGTACAAGCGCTGACAACTTTTCCCTGCCCCGGCCATGGTGGAGTTTTAGAAAAATTAATCCAAAGGGGAACAGTTAATTTAGAACTGATTATTCCAGTTGCCAGTAGATGCAAAGCTACTAAATTTCGATATACGGCTCGAAAGCTAAATTTATTCGTTATCTGGAGACTTTTTTTTGGTTAGTGTGTATTCCTCCAGCTCCACATGTGTATCCGCTGACTCGTCCTCGTCGAATATCTTGAGATTCTTGGCATGATACCAAACTGAGATGTTGAGGAAGCCGGCCACAAATATAAACGAAGCCGCCGTGAGATTGAGAGCATAACTAAAAGGGGGGAACATACTCGTATGTGAGACACAATTCTGATAGCGAGTTTGTGCATATATCTACCGCAAGGACTTTGTGTCGTAGAGCCAACAGTTGCCCTTATTGGAGCATGTCTTGCCCCAAACCAGGCAATAGTTGTCGATGAGCCAGCCAAAGAATATGGGACTTGGAATGAATCCCAGCAAGGAAGCCGCCATGGAGCCAAGCCCCAAGGCGAACGTCTTGTCCTCCTGCGGTATGCAGCGCAGGGCAATGAGCAGATTGGTTAACTTACTGGAAGCCCCCACAAGTTTTAGCAAGCACATCACGGACAGGAAGATGAGGAACTGATTGAAGCAGTCCACCGGACAGGCTCCATCCAAAGCGAATTGTGTCTGAAAAACAAAAAAAATACTCATACATTCAGGGATTATTCTACGTAAAAAAATATGTCACACCTCTGGGTCAGCAATCAGGTTCGAGGAGGTCATGCACTTGCAGCCGGTGTAAATGGTCCGTCCCAGGTCATCCATGGCCTCCTCCGAGCATCCTGCGTGGCAGGCTGATATGTAGGTGATGTTCTCCGGAGTGCAGACGGGGGCGTAGTGGACGTAGTCGCAGTGGCAGGAGGCGCTGCAGCTGTCGCCGGCGGACAGTGTGGCCAGGGAGTTCAGACTGTCGCTGCCCTCACAGCCGATGGCCACGTAGCACAGGATGCCAGCCACAGTCATGAAGTCCACAGCGGCATTCCAAGAAGCCATGGCCCGGGCGCTCGGCTTGTACTTGGATATCACATAGCCGGAGATAAGTACGCCAACGGCGGAGAAGCCGAGCGCAACGGTTCCCGTGGCCATCGTTGCCATTGCCGCCGACTGTCTGTACTGGGTCTCGATGTACTTGGGCGTGAATATCCAGTAGGCCATGTACCCGAAGAAGTAGAGGATGGATGCCATGGTGTTGTGCACGTAAACCTTGTTGCCTGCGAGTCTCTTGACCGACTTTAGCATGTCTGCAATGGAAAGCTCTTTGACATCCGTTTCACCTTTGCTGTCCGTCTGCCTGTTCTTCACCCGTCGCTCCCGGGTACTGGGCAGCTCCTTGGGGAACATGAACATGACCAGGGCAGCAATCAACGACATCCCCGAGAGGATGAGCCACCCCAGCCACCAGGCTCCCAGCCAGCGGGGATCCTCCCTGGCAATCAGCGGCTCCATTGTGGGTTCTATGTACATCCGCAAGCAGACGGCAGCCAGGGAGTAACCGATGGCGGGGCCCAGCATGCGCAGGAAAGTCGACATACCTGGGGGGCGGGATAAGCCAAGGATTAGTGCAGCCCTCCTCCGCCTACTCCAGGAAATTGCACTTACTCAGCATGGCTGGGGTCTTCGACTTGGTGGCGTTGTCATCCATGTAGGATATGCCCAGCGTGTAGAAGAGTCCCTGGCCCACTCCCGATATGAGCTGTGCGCCAAACAGAAATGCCTGCGGCACCCACACGCCCACATCCTGGACACAGCCAGACGTACTTGTCTGGCACAGTTTCTGGTCCTGTTGCGTGTCGTTGGCCTCAGCCTGACCGCCGTACTCTCGGGTTAGCTTCAGAGCATCCTCGCCGGCTCCATAAATGAAGTGCAGTGATCCCGACAACAGGCAGAAGGCGACAATTGTTAGCAGACCTAAGTAGTACACGGAAGATACATATATTGAGAGAGAGAGAAGGAGGCACCCAAAGTTCCGGCCCACCTATACCCATCCAGCGCGGTCGATGGCCGTTGCCCGCATAGTAGCCCAAGACGGCGGCCGTTAACATGGTGCTGATATCGTTGCCCACTGAGATAATACCCGAGATCTTTGTGGGTATTTTATAGCGCTTCTCCAAGGTCGTTATGGTTGCGTTGAAATAGGCAAAGGTCATTGTCAACACACAGCCGGACAAGCCGTACAGAATCACATACATTTTCTCCGTGGAAAATCTGCGTTAAGTTAGGGCCAAACAATCCTTTAAAATCTGTAGACAGATACTCGCATGTTCGTGGGATTACCTCTGCAGAAAGCGGCCTTGGAAGAGCCAGAAACCACAGGCGGTGTCTGGACCATCGTCTTCTATTTTCTGCTCATCCCCAGGCTGGATCCTCCGCGCCTCTGAATAGGTTTGCCCCGTCGATAGGAAGGGCAAGATCTCAGGTGTTTCCTCTTTGTGATCGTCGCCCATTCTCCCAACTGCACTCTCCAGCTGCTCGCAAGAACTGACTCTGAATCTAAGAGTTTTAATGTCTACAATTTATCTGATCTGCGAGCCATATACTTTGCTGCATCTCGTTTCAGCTTAGAGATCTTATCTCCCAGCAAGATTAGTGTACAGCAGGAGGATCTGACTGGACTGTATCTGGCCGGGAATATAAATCAAACGAAGCTCCAATTGATGGCGGAGCTCTGTTATCGCAGACGCCGAGCCTTATTTCAGAACTGTGTGAAATGCTGGCGTGATAATCATCATAAAAGTTTTTTGTGACAAACAGATGATGATAAGCGGGGGCAGGCAGCTTTACCCCTCGTTAAAATAATTCTCGTAACGAAAGCTTGAGTTTTTTTCCCCCTAGATTTATTTTTTTTGGTTTAGTATTTATTTTTAGTTCTTATCACTTTTACTAGGTTTTTCCTTCAGCTCCGTTTGTTCTTCCTTTCGTGGATTATCTGTTACCTCCTCATCGTCGAAGATTTTGATATCCTTGGCATAATACCAGACGGCAATGTGCCAGAAGCTACCCAGTAAAATGAGCGTGGCGGACACGAGATTCATTGTGTACCTGTAGCAAAAATGAAACCAATACAATACTCGCAGCTCAACCAACGCCCTGTCGTGGTACCCACCTCAAAGAGCCGGTGTCGTAGAGCCAGCAGTTGCCCTTGGTGCTGCACGTCTTGCCCCACACCAGGCAATAGTAGTCGATGAGCCAGCCAAAGAATATGGGACTTGGAATGAAGCTCATCACGGAAAAGAGCATGTTGCCAATGCCCAGAGCAATGGTTTTGTCCTCGGCCGGAACACAGCGCAACACCAGCAGCAGATCAGTCGATCGCCCAGTGGCCCCCACAAACTTCAGCAGACACATGACGGCCAGGTAGATGAGGAACTGGTCGTAGCAGTCAACGGGACAGACTCCATCAGAAGCGAATTGGTTCTGGAATCGAAGGGGAGATATATGTATGGGATCAAACACTAGAGACAGAAACACTCACCTCATCAGGGAGGGTCAGGTTTGGTGAAAGGGAGAGGGAGGAGGAAATGCACTTGCAGCCAGAGTACGTGGTTCGTCCTAGGTCATCCGTCAACTTCTCCGAGCATCCTGCGTGGCAGGCGGAAATATATGTTTCGTTTGCCGGACTGCAGACGGGGGCGAAGTGCACAAAGTCGCAGTGGCAGGAGGCACTGCAGCTGTCGCCGGCGGACAGTGTGGCCATGGAGTTCATCCTGTCGCTGGGCTCACAGCCAATGAGCATGTAGCAAATGATACCGGCCACCGTCATGTAGTCAACGAGACAGTTCCACGCGGCCATGGCCCGGGCACTCGGCTTAAACTTTGAGACCACATAGCCGGAGAGGAGAACTCCGGCGGCAGAGAATCCCAGTGCAACGGTTCCGGTGGCCATGTTGGCCATGGCTGCACTCTGCCTGAACTGGATCTCGATGTACTTGGGCGTGAATATCCAGTAGGGGATGTACCCGAAGAAGTACAGATTGGAGCCGATTGTCTTGCAGATGTATAGCTTGTTGGCCGCCAGTCGTTTCAGGGTTTCGACCATGTCCTTGAAAGAGCGCTCCCCCAGTGGAGATTCCGCCTCGGTGCCAGTGCCAGCGACAGACTTTAAACGCCTGGCTCTGGCACTGGGCATTTCTTTGGGGAACAAGCCGACAAAGAACGCGGAGATCAAGAGGATTACGGCTAACAGAATCCATCCCAACCACCAGGCACCCAGCCAGCGAGGATCCTCCTTGCTGATCAGCGGCTCCTTGAAGGGATCGATGTAAATGCGGAGGCACACCGAGGCCAACGAGTAACCGATGGCCGGTCCCAGCATTCGCAGGAAAGCCGACCAACCTGTCGAAGACAGACAATTAATTTATTTCACTCGCCCACATTCTGACTACTCACTTATCATGGCTGGGGTCTTTGACTTCTTGGAGTTGTCATCCATGTAGGACAGGCCCAGAGTATAGAACAAGGAGCACCCAACGCCACAGACAAACTGCGCCAAGAAGAATATCATAATAGGCATAAAGTCGCTGGGTGCCTTGCTCTCCACACAACTGGGCTTCTCCTGCTGGCAAAGCGCCTCATCCCGTTTAGTTCCATTTAGAGTATGATCCATGGACTCCCCGTATTCTCGGGTCAGACTCAGGGCCTCCTCTCCAGGTCCATAGATGAGGTGCGGGCTAAGCATGAGCAGGCAGAACACAGCCAATATAATGAGGCCTACATATCAGCAAAATATTTTCTAATAAATATTTAACATAAAAAATAACAAATGATGGCGAATCGTCTACCGAAACTTATCCAACGCGGTCGATGTCCTCGGCCGGCGTAGTAGGCCAGGAAGGCCGATGAGAAAACTGTGCTTATATCATTTCCCACCGAAATGACTCCCGTTATCTTGGTGGGTATTTTGTAACGCTTCTCCAGAGTGGTGAGGGTTCCGTTGGAGTACGAGAAGGCAATGGCCAGAAAGCAGCCAGCAATCCCATAGATAACCATGTATATGTTCTCACTGGCAAATCTGTTTCAGAGAATTACTGGTAAGAGTGTGGCAAGAACTTGGTCAAGTCAGGAGTGGAGAGGAGTACGAGTACCTTTGCAGGTTAGGGCCTTTGAACCGCCAGAAACCACATGTGGTATCCGAAGTATCTTCCTGCTGCTCAGGCTCTTGTTTGTCCCTAAGGAACTCTGAAGTTTCTGTCGCCTCGCTGGCCATTTCGATCGCTCCCGTCGAACTTATCTTTTATACTGAACCACAATTCAGACACAGACTGCACCATGGCGATTAAAAAGCTCACAGATAGCAAAATTATGACAGACCAGACAGCTGAAGTGGCAAGGCAATACCGTACCGTTTTTGTGTGTCCGAATTTTACAATGCTTTGGGTTTTATACATTCGCTTGTTTACTCCAAGTTGTAATTCTCCTCAGGCATATAGTAGTAATATTCTCGTAGATAAGCAGTTGGCAGCTCTCTTTCTGTGTGCTATTTGGAGCGCCAGGATTAATCTTGTTTGACTTCTCTCATACGCTTTACAAATTTGACCGTATCACGACACCTTGCAAACACTTTGGACACGGTGGGTAGCTTTTATATTCTTTGTTCTAGCCGGGTCGCGCCGTCTTTATTTTCGTCTTTGCCTCAGCCAAAACTAACGGCGCTAAACCTTATCGTACTGCTTATCGCACGCCCGTTTGGATTCGAGCACACCACCCGACCGGACCTGCCTCAAGTCAGCTGCGTCTGCTGGTACAGTCGCTGCTACAAATATTGAGCCTGCTGCAAACTTCACAGGCCACCCAAGGGGCATACTAGTAGCGGGGCAACTCTTAATCGAAACTCATCTATCACAAACCAATCAATTACACTACTCGACAAAATCGAACTTTTTACCCCTTTTACCCAAAGGAACCAAACCGACTTATTCTTCTTTTTTTCATATAACTTAAGTATCTGACATTTCGTTGTAAAGAACTTCACCAATCTGAAAAGCTAATTGATGCAGCCAGAACTTGGATCCTGGGTCCTTTAATTTTTTGTGTATAGTTGCATTGATTCGGCGATGGTTAGGGTGCTGCTCATTAAAATCTTTGGAGAGGCTACAAAAAAATTATCTGCCATAAAAAAAAAAATATATCATCAAGCGATTTCTAAGCCCCAAATCTTTCAGAAAAAGTTGGTTTGGTTCCTTGAGAAAAAATAGTTTCGGGTAGTGCTATTGAAAGATCAAAAATCCTGCATTTATAGTCTCAGCTCTTCTGATAATTATCATTTAATGAATTGTATTATACAGAAATTATGAATCACCCCTCCTCTACTCGTATTGATATGCCGCATTATGTCACAGTTAAAATACGCTTTATTAATATATCATACAGGGCTCTTTGGAGAAATCACACATCGATATAGACACCAAAAATATTCACTCACACAGCTTTTTCTTAAGAATAATGCAAACTTAAATCTAGATCTCTGTATTCTTCTCATTGCTGGCCTCCTCCTCGTGCTGGACAATCTGCATTTCGACCTCCTTGACCTCCTCGTCGAAGATTTTCAGATCCTTGGCATAATACCAAACACCCAGATCGAACACAGCACCAATGGCAATGAATACAGCAGCGGTAAAGTTCAGTGTGTATCTGTAAAGAGCGCAAAGTGTTAGCCATTTAAAGCCATTTCATGGCTTAAGTTTCCTCACCTCATGGACAGCGGATCGTAGAGCCAGCAGTTGCCTTTGTTCGTGCAGGTCTTGCCCCAGACCAGGCACACCCGATCGAACACCCAGCCAAAAAAGATGGGACTGGGAATGAAGGCCAGCATGGAGCACATGGTCATGCCGAAGCCCATGGCAGCCGTCTTATCCTTCTCGGGCACACAGCGCACGGACACGAGGAAATTGGATGCCCTGCCACTGGCGCCAATGAACTTCAGGCAACACATCACCGCCAGGAAGGTCACGAACTGCGTCCAGCAGTTGACGGGACAGGATCCGGGCATAGCTTGTCCACTTGCCAGACTCTGCATGGGAAAGTTAATTATTTAAGAGCGATGTTTGTATATCCACAAAGAGGTTAGCTACCTGCAAGTGCGAGACACTCGAGGTGTCCAGTGTGGCATTCTCAAGGCTGAGGTCAAGGCTTGTAATCCGTTTGAACTGAGCGGTGGAGTTGCCCCACTCATCACCCGGAATGCAGGAGCAATCGTAAAAGATCTGAAGGAGTAGAAGGAGTTGGATTATTTTCTGTAGATGCTTGTAGCCTACCTTAGCTTACCTTTCTGCCATCGGAGTTGACTTGCTGACCCTTGCAGCCCGCGTGACAGGCGGAGATGTAGGTCATATTATTCTCACCGCACACGGGCGAGTACCGCACGTAGTCGCAGGAACAGGCCGAGTTGCAGGTGGTGGCGTTGCCGCTCAGCGAACTGTCGTGGATATTGACAATCACCGAGCTCTCATTGCCGGGACAACCGATGAAGGCGTAGGTCAGGATGCCCGCCATCGTGAGGAAGCCACAGATGACGTTCCAGGCAGCCATATAGCGGGCCCTGGGCTTATAGCGGGATATAATGAACCCAGAGAGCAACACCCCAACCGCTGAGAAGGCCAGGGCGACGGTGCCAGTGACCATTGAGGATGTGGCCGCCGACTGCCTGTACTGCACCTCGATGTACTTGGGTGTAAAGATCCAGTATGGGGTGTAGCCCACCAGGTAGAAGATGCTCGACAGCGTGTTGCACATGTACGTCTTGTTGGTGGTCAGGCGCCTGAAGGTCTTTAGCATGTCCTTGAACGAGGCTTTCGGCTCGACGGGCGACATCTGGTCTAGTTCGGCGGTCAGTCGCTCCTTCTCCGAGCTCTCCTTATTCTTCAGGGACAGCCTCTCCTTCTCGCGCCTCCGATTCTCCTCCACCTTGCGACGGGCCACCGCTCGCGGCAGCTCCTTCGGGAACATCGATAGAAAGACCCCGGAGAAGGCAAGCAAACCGCCCATGACCAGCCAGCCCAGCCACCAGGCGCCCAGCCAGCGCGGATCCTTGTTGTTGATCACCGGATGCAACTGGGGGGCGATGTACAGCCGCAGGCAGAAGGAGGCCAGGGCATAGCCGATGGCGGGACCCAGCATGCGCAGGAAATACGAGAGACCTACAAGAGGACGAGACAAGTATTAACGCCAGTCAAGAACTCTGACATGGAAAGGGCGAAAAGTTCATCTGCTCTACGTGAGATTCGTCCAGATCTGGGCAGTTATTTCTACAGACAGGGGAACTTGAAATTTGATAGTGCGGATTACTTATCAGCAGATCTCATGGCCATCGAAAACTGCCAAGTAATTGGCAGCACACCCACGCGTTGTACTTTCCCAACTTATCTAAGAGCACACATGGATCAAGGCAGGTGAGCGATACTGGGGGCTTTTATAGCGTTTTATAGTCGGCTCGGTTTGAACCGGATTGCTCTACTCACTCAACAGTGCCGGAGTCTTGGACTTCTTCGTGTTGTCGTCCATGTAGGAGACACCCAGGGTATAGTACAGGGATCCGCCGATGCCCGATATGAACTGCGCCACAAACAGCAGGAGCTGAGGGGCAAAGTTTCCCTCGCCAACCTCGCACTCGGCCCCGCCGCCATTCAGGCGACAGAGTGTCTTCGAGCGCTGCTCCTCGATGGCCTCCATGGTGGCGTTCTCATCGGGCATGGCACCGAACTCCGAGGTAAGGGCAAGGGCGTCCTCGCCGGGGCCGTACAGGAAGTGTGGTGTGGTGGTCAGCACGCAGAACAGGACAATGGTGAGGAGACCTTTGCGAGTAGTTGAATTAGTTGATTAGTTGAATTGAAATCGAAATGAATCGATCTGAATCCTGAACTTACCGAATCCTATCCAGCGGGGCCGATGTCCCTTGCCCGCGTAGTATGCGAGGACGGCGGAGACCAGGGTCTGGCTGATGTCATTGCCCACCGAAATGATGCCCGTGTTCTTCGAGGGGATCTTGAAGCGCTTCTCGATGGTGGTGATGGTGCCATTGAAGTAGGCGTACGTCATCGAGAAGACGCACCCCACGATGCCGTAGAGGAGGACATACGCTGTCTGATTGGCAAACCTGATAGAGGAAGAGAATGAGCAGGGAATACCCCGAGGAATGTGCACAGATCCACCCACCGCTGGTAGAACTGGCCCTTGAATATCCAGAAGCCGCAGGTCACATTCTTCTCCAGCGGCGTCTCGATCAGCAGTCGGTTGATCTCCTCGGTTATGAGTCGGTCCTGCTCCGATTTCTGTTTCTTCTTCTTCTTCTTGGCTTTGGGAGTCGTCTTGGCCTCTTCGTCCTCGCCAGCAGGCCCTTTGGACTTGCCGTGGTTGGTGCCGTTGTCCAGTAGCCTGGCCTCCACATCAGCCTCATCGTTCGTCCGCTCGCGTGTTGAATCTGTCGAGTTGCTCGCCAATTCGTGCTCCTCCTCCTCCTCCGCCGGCTGCTCGACACTGTGGGCATTCTCGCCCTGCACCATCCTAATTAACTGGCTTCACTGAGTCTCGGTCTCGGTCTCGATTTCGATCTTTTTTGGCACGTGGGCCGCTTCCGCTTCTGGATGCTGAACGCACACACACACTCATGCACACGTGCTGGCCCGTGTCTGTATTTCTGAGTAATTGCCCACAGTTTTTCTTAATTTTCGCCAGATCTTTCACTGGCAATTACACATGTATGTGGCTACGGGAAGCTGGGTACGAGAGAACAACCTAAAGCGTGGCAGTCCGCGAACGAAGTGACATGATCTGCTGAGACAGCGCTGATCTTAACTGGATCTACAGGCGGACGGATCCGTGTCCGGGCCCTGATCTCTCACTCTCTCTCTACTCTCTCTCTCTATCTGTCTATATCCAAAAAGCTGACGTCGCTTATCTCTCTTGTCCTGCAACTGTCTATCGCCAAATCTCGGTAGATGCCGCCGCTATGTCGTCCAATGTTGTCGAATAAAATATTATCTCAAACCGAGCTATCACTGCTCCATGGGCTCTAATCTTGGATAATTTTCGAGACATGAGTACATCCACCGTCCTCCCCTTTCATTGCTGCTGCTGCTGCTGGTGCTGCTGCCTCTGCCTCCGGTGCTGCTTCTGTTGATGCCTGAAAAATTTACAATTTGTTTGCGAGTTTCATTTTAAAAGCAAGTATAAAATAGACTGCCAAAGTTTGAGATAAGATCCGGACGAGACGGACAACGCGAAACAGTGTTAGTTGTGTTCCCGGTCCCA